TTTTATAAAGAGATTGTGACGATACTACTAAAAACCTATATTTTGATTTTATGTTATTAAACTTTCTTTCCTGTGACAGGGCAGCCCAGACAGAAAATACCAAAAATAATAACCAGGGGGAAAAAAAAAATACTATGCGTAATGCACAACTTTTAATTATACTGCCTATTGTTTGTGGCTCACATCAAGTTCAAGACACTCATGCCTGCTTACAGGTCAGCCATTTCTCATTTCTAAGTCATGTCTGCTAAATGAATAAATGCAAACAAATGTAAATGTTTTTAAACAAGTTCGAAATAAACCAGGACTCTTATTTTAAAATGCCTATGTTTTATATTGCCGAGATAAAATATGCACTCTTACTAGGGCTGTGTATCACCAGCAAAGTCACGATACGATACATATCACGATACGGACTGCACTGAATTTCACCTCAGAAGAATTTAGTAAAACAGCTATTTATTAAATACTGCATACTATAGTGCCATTTCTAACTATTGGCAGAGCAGGCAGTTGACCTCTGCATTATGAAGGGCCTCTATAACTGTACCACAGTACAATATAGGTAATGGCATATGTTTCATGTTTACATTGGGCACTCCCCACCAGGTACAATATTCTGATTGTTTGCATCTTGTTTTTAAGCCCATAAATAATAATGTACTCATTCTAATATATTTTTCAAAAATCATATTTACATTGCTAGTAGGTTATCATTGCACAAATTAACACACTCTCTACATTTAAAAATAAAAATGAGAAGAGTTCTAAACTAATGCGCTGTCTTCTGTATCTAACGCACACACACGCTCAGTCACTCACACAGATCATGCTGCGGCCACACTCAGACATTCAGGAACAAACTTTTAAGCGCTGCCCCGCAATTTTATCAACTAAATAGCTTAATCGCTCAAGAGCAACATTATCTTTCTCAACAAGGAGCTGGTAACATAGTTGTTCATAAAGGAGTTAAAGCCACAGCTTCACTATTAATAGAGAAACGCAGCAAAACGGTGGTAATTCATATCATCAATCATACATACACAGCCCCTCTCTCGCTCTCTCATAAATGAACACTTGATGAATTACACTTTTCTGAGAATAGAATATTGAAGTGGAGATCGCTAAACTGCAAGCTAAAACTAAAACCGGTGTTTTCAGAAAGCAAGCGCGTTTATCCAAAGTGGAGAGAGACCGCGTGCACATGGTTACCAGGTTGACAAAGATAAGTAGCACACTTAGCAGATATTTCCGTATTGCGCAAGTGGGAAGCTCTGTTTCGGGGATTACGTCTCTTTATATCAGGCAACCCAGTTATGTTCCTCTGCGGCCAGATTAAACCTTGTTATAGCCTATATATTATGCTCTATTCGTTATTTTTTTAGAAACCTCGCACTTTTCTGCTCAATTTTAAACGTTGTTCTTGTATTCAAATTAAGCGCGGTCCACTGCTGCACACGTGCCACAATATCGATACAGGGCCAGCTGTGTCGATACTCGTATCGTCAAATCTCTGTTACGATACATCGTCGTATCGATGTATTGAACACAGCACTAACTCTTACAACCACCTACAAAATACAATATATACACCATTAAGTAAACATTGTCTAAATTCATTAACAGTAGATTGTAGATCATTTGAAATAAATGCATGATATTCATTGATTGTGAACTGCTCTGAAACCGTGAGCCTGTAGAACTTGCAACTGACGTGTTCTTTGTACAGCGCTCATATACTGTAGTGATTCCTATTTTCAAACCCCAAATTTAAGACATCTTAAAATTGTAATTAAGACATTAGTTATACCATTTAAGATATTTAAGACTTTTATTACCTTAAATTTCATTAAAACTGAATTAATTTCATGAAACTTTTTCATAAGGGACTTTATTCGCATAAACGCTCCTAAATACTTTACAGTTTGCACACATTTACTTTTACTGACAACTGCGAGCGAAACGCTCACACTGTCAAGCCCTGGGCTTGTGAAGGCAAAATGTTGGACACAGCCTTTGTACAAAACATTCTGATGAGTCAGTAAACCTGGATCTCATAATCCAGTGATTGAACAGGCATCAGAGCACAGCTTCCATACTATGGTGACAGCAAGAACACAAAGCCAAACTCTTCTGGGGCTAACTAGTCGGAGAATGCATCTAGTTGGTTAATTCCCTTGTTACATAAGAACTGCAACTGACAGATGCCAAATATTAGTAAGCAAAGTCAGGAACATATTAAGTTCTTCAGAAAGAACCTCAAATGGTTTTCAAACCCTAAAACTCGTACCATTTCTCAAAGTTAGAATGTTATAAGACCAGCAAACATTTTGCTTTTGACTCTGCTGCAGTGCCACTGTAGAGCAGAAATTATTCATTAACTCTCAACGGATATCATTTCTTTGACCTTGATGGTTTAAAATGAGACTGCTGACATAAAACCACACATTTTCACTGACCCATTTTGCATTTTGCTGTTCCTACTTTGTGCCCTATACGCCACAAAGCTACAGGGAGAGCAAAACCCATAGAGCGAGCAGGACAACCTGCTGCTTGGATCTGTAACCAAGCGATAAGATCCTATGGGACTAAAAACGTCAACCCATAACAAAAAAAAGGAGTCAAAGTCTCTCACAGGAAAACAAAGCACATCAATTTATTATCAGGAATATCTGTGCAATAAGTAAAACAGGACTAGATCTAAATGCACTTAAGAACTAACCTGAATGATGACTCTAAAAGGCAAATACAATGAATTTTATTTTCCAAATGAACAAATCACACCGGGTTTAAAAAATATTTCTGGTCTTTAAGCAGTTTATAAATCACCTACAAAGGATGACAAAAAGTCAAGGTTTCTTAAGCCTCCTTATCACACTATAAATTACATCATCTTCAAAGGAAATTCAAAAGGCTTCAAAGAAATGTCTTTCTTCATGATGCCTTCCAAGAAGTGTTTAAATAGCCAAATTTGATCCATCCACTAGGAAATTTACATAAACCGTTCTGCCAATGGCAAACTACCAACCAATTATTTACGCAAAAGGTTTCCACACTGCAAAATACAATGAATTTGCATGGCAAAAGGTGAAAATAGAGCCATCGGGGTGAACGGTCCAGAACACAGATGCTTGACATACACAAACAGATATTGTACAATAGGGATATGCCGGTATCAAAATTTTATGTTGCGATTAATTGCTAATCCTTTTATCACGGTATATGGTATTATCACGATGTTGAACTTTAGTTTCAAAAAAAGTGTTGTCATAATACAGTATAACAGGTTTAATAACTTTTTCCTTATAACAAAAATAACTGAACATTTAAATACAATAAAGCAATACAAAAAAAAATGTATAAAGTTAAAAGTTTTACACAGATTAAAGTGCAAAAGAACTATAAAGGCCAATAGGCATCACTTTACAATAAGACCTCATTAGTTAACCTTAGTTAATGCATTAACATTCACAATGAGCAATAGCTACATTTCCTACAGAACTTATTAGTCTTTGTTAAAAAAATACAAGTCTTAGTTCATGTTAGCTCATTAAATATCACAGTTGCAACTTTCAATTTTAACAACCTGTTATTAAATATTGGAATACCTAAGACTAATGAATGTTCAGAAGAATTTTTCATTGGCAGTTTGTTAACTAATGAATTAACTAATGTTAACTAATGAAGCCCTAATGTAAAGTGTGACCGAACAATAAAGAATCAAAACACTTTCAAACAATATCTAGGGCATGTTGTAGTCCAGATTAAAATGTAAAAAAAAGTTTGAAAATAAATAGCCTATTAAGTCTAAATATTTAAGTATTTGGCGCCGTGTTCAAAAATACTAAGCAAAATGCAGAAATTTTACTGAACAACATTAGTTATTTACTAAAACGTATAAAAACACAGTAATTCAATAAACACTGATATTCTTATTCTGTTAAAATAGACAATAGCCAAAAGCTGCAAACTAACTGAAACAATAGATGCAAATATGCAAGCATGCAGTACAGTTATATTTATGCATTTCATATTTCACATATTCATAATGTGAATAAATTAATATAATTTTTTATAGTTATCAATTTATTTTTGCTGTTCTTTAGGTTTTGTTGTATCATGCCTATGTATTCAAAGGTAAAGTAACTTATTTAATGTACTGGGCAACACTTTACAAAAAGGTCCCATAGTTAATACATTAACTAACAATAAGCAGTACATTTGCTACAGTATTTATTCATCTTTCTTAACATTAGTTAATAAAACTAGAACTATTCATTGGTAGTTCATTTTAGCTCAGGTCCATTAAAATATTAATTAAGATTACTAAATGCTTTAAAAGCATTTTCATTGTTAGTTCATGTTAACTAATGTTTACGTATGGAATCTTATGTAAAGTCTTACCATGTAAGATTAATGTAATCATGCCGATCAAGAGAGTCCCTATTCTAGGTATCCTAATAATTTCACAATCCAAAACGTAGATAAATAATATGATATTTAGTTCGAAAAACTACTTTGCATCAATAACAACAAACGAAATGTTGGCAACAATGATATTTTTAACGACGTCTTGCAGTGATGTCAAAAGTAAAATAAATAAAAAAATTAATCATTTAAAAATAAAATGAATCCACATGTCAAACAAGCGAAAACTGCAATGAATATGCATCAAGATAAATACAGATTGTGTGGCAGTGGTGCGTCGTGATAGTTGTGTTTAACAGTCACAGCTGGATATGATGACACACTATGACCGCTGATGCTATAGGTGTCAATCTAGCGCCTCGAAAACGCAAAATAATCAGTTTCCCCATAAACATGGGGTTTGTTTTAGTCCTCAACTTGAGAGGAAACGATGTAACGTTACGGTTAGCTACAGCAGGCTAGCACAACTGGGGCTCCTTACACACTCACTAACCCTCCGAAAGGTGGGGAAATTACACTTCTACAAAGGCCAAATGAGGAAAAAGATCTTAAAATTAGACTTTAGAACTTACCTGAGGAATCTCGGACAGTTTGGTGGACTATTCCCTCAGATATTCCGTTATTCCTGTTTATTTATACGACTTCGTCGACTCTGACGGTTGTCCTGTCGGAGTTGAAAGCGCCCAGCATGCACAGGAAGTGATGTGCGCTCTAGTGCGAGCACATTAGGGCACTTGCACTTCTCTTTTTATGTGTAGCAGATACTGGTGGGTGTTGCAACACGTTTCATTTCACCCTCTATAAATCTGTTTGGTTAAGTGTCATAAACTTTGATATAGCTAACAATCTCTGTTTCACATAAAATCAACTACTCATCCATAAACAATGCAAATGAATGCAAAAGAGCACTACTTCAACCCACTGTAGTTTGCAACATTAAATGAGAACATTGATATTTTAAACTTGGACGCATACATATATTGTAATAATTAAAAAAAATTATTAAAAAATTCTTTGTAATAATTAATCATATATATATAATAATTAATTCATTATAACATGCCTCCTCATGACTCCACCCAAAACAACACTTATTTTAATTTAAAGATGTACAAAAACAGAAACTGATCATTTAACAACCAATAACAGGACCAGAAACCACATTACAAGTCAGGCATGAAAGCCACTTCATTACATCAAAATTGAGTTTGTCCTGTAAATCCTTTATGTTTTTAAACAAAACAGAATCTTCAAACTTCTGTTGTCACCTCAGGATGATTGGTGGAAACATTTTTACATACTAGTAAACATATTAGTCTGTGACAAAATGACATCAGCAAATTAATATAGTGGACTTGAGAACATCATCTGAACTATAGATAATCATTTATCTATACAAACATTTATAGATCATTCAATATCATTCCTGTCAGTCCAAATAAGGTGCAAAGTCACTGTCACAAAGTCCAAAACACATATTTATTAGTTGGACATTAAGTGCAGGTAAGATCATAATCCAACCATAATCACTGGTAACTGATGAACTTTTGCCAACTGATAAACTGAGGAAAATGACAGCATACAATAAATAAAGCTGTGCAACATGACTGAGCCTAATGGACAGCAACTCCAAATAACTGGGTGAGATCATTATTTTTAAATTGCATTTACTAAAATACACCTAAATGCCAATTTAAGCTGTTTCATAAGTGATATTAAAGAGCAGAGTTTTGTAGTGACGTTACATTGTAGGGCGGCGGCACAAGAGATAATCTTTCACATGATCTGTCCTAAAACCATCCAGACCTGCTGAACCTGTTCTTTCAGACAAACCTGAATGTACAAGACAATGGTGGGTTGATTAGTCTACAATTGGCAATCATATATGTTGAGACACAAGGTATATCACTATGGACACTGATAAGTGAACTGCAATGCACAACACTCAGATGGTCTAGGCACATTTTATTTATTATCAAACTCCATCTTGTGGTAAAAGTCAGTAATACAAATGGAGACTGAAATGCTTGTGAACCAAAACAAGGAAAGTGAAAGTCATCATTAAAAAGGTTTGGTTTGAAATAAATGTTTAATAGCACTCTCAGAAGGTTTCTCAGAAACATCAGGCGATTTATGTTTATATGCAGTGCCGGGTAGTAACTAATTATATGTAATCTGGATTACAAAATCAGATTAATTTTTTTGTAATTATTAAATACGTACAATTATTGTAGTTTTAGAATGATTACCTGATTACTTAATATTTACAAAATGGCATTGTGTGTAAGTCATTGTTTCTTCCTAATTCCTTTGTTATCGTTAACATTTTCCTTTCTAAAAAAGCCTATTGCTCTAAGTCCAGGTTGTGGAATTGTAGGCGGTTATAATTACACAAAAAATGAGGACGCACAGCATAAACAAAATATTTTTATTTATTTTTTATCAAGTGTTTTGATTTTATTTTTAAATTGAACATTAAGAGTTAATTTAATTTTCATCAAGCTACAATTCCAGAACTTTTATTTTTAATTTTTTAACATTGAAATTATTGCGGAAAAGTTATACTTTTCACTTCAGACAGAATTTTGTATTCCAAACAATTATGTATTCGAAACTGTATGGACAAGATTTTATTTGTTCCTACAGATTGAATTGAACAGACCAAATTTCAGAAATAAAAAAGGCTTTTGAATACTCGGGGTCATTATAGGTCAAAAAGCCTCAACAGATGTATTTTTCATCTGTCTTTACAGACATGAATTGACATTACAGGACACATTATCGACAATTAGTTTTTGAAAATAAGCACCAGTACCTGCAGGGTGAAATTTGTTTAGTTGTTAAATATCAACATCCTGTTAATTTCTTTGCAGAAACACACAGAAACTATTATCTGCCAGAACACATTAGGGTTATCATCAAAAACATCTTTATATAGAGTCGTTATGGAAAACATTTTAATGGTTCTTTGAGGAGTCATTAAACAGAATACACAAAATGCTCACCAGATGTACATGTTTGTTTTTCCATCCATATTTTATATAATGTGAATCTGAAACAATCCTGTGAAATCAAAGTCCCAGTACAAGCAGTGTAAACCCTGAAGATTTAAATCAAGGTTCAAGTTTTATGTCCTCAATATTACACTGTACGTACAAATCAAGACTGAAACAAATAGGGTAAAATCTAACGCCGGTATCTAGTCGAGGTGTATTCTACTTGTAGAACTCGTGTTCCTGCTCGTCTTTCTTGATAACAGTCTTGTAAGCCTTCTCAAAGTCCTTAGCCAGCACAATGTATCGGTTTTCACGCACAGCCAGCATACCAGCCTGTAGACAAGTAACATGATTAATCATAACAGAAAAACATATGTTTGAAGAAATTCTGATCACAAATAAAATAAAAATAAAAATATATAAGACTATTTTTTATGAACATACGGTCTGTCCTAACTCACCTCCTGGCAAATGGAGTTGATATCTGCACCAGAGATCTTGTCAGGCCTGGCAACATCTGCATTTTGGTTAAGGACAATTGTATAACGTTTATTTGGTTTTGAAAGTCTGGTATAACTAACAGTCTTCTAAATCAAGAGTCTGTAAAAAAAAATTTTTTTATGTTTTTGAAAGTGTCTTATGCTCACCAAAGCTGCATTTATTTCATACGGTGTAAACAGTAATAATGTGAAAAATTACTCAAATTTAAAAATAAATTATTCTTGTAAGGGTAAATCTGAATATTCTAACATGCTGATTTGTGTTCAAGAAACATTTGTTAAAAATCATCAAAACAGACACTTTTTTTTTTTGTTCAAGATTTGACACCAAAATCATCAAATTTCTTGACTGTTACTTTTGATTCATTTAATGCATCTGTGCTAAACAAACATACTAATTTCTTTTTAAAAAATTTTAAATGAGAATATACTTTTTTTTTTGTGGCAGTGTTAATACTGTTTGTTCCTCTATGATTAATGCCTTGCACTTTCCTCCTTGCAAGTAACTTTAAAAAAATAAAAATAATAATAATATAAATATATAAATACATATACATATATATATTCCAAATGAATAATTTAATGAGAAAATTAATGTAGGGTCAGGATACAGTCCTCCAGGTCAACTTCCTCTGAGAGGTTCATCTTGCTGGTGATGGTGGAGAACACCAGCCGTTTCTGTCGCCGGTCAGGAAGAGGAAACTCAATCTTACGGTCCAGTCTACCTGGGCGCAGCAGAGCTGGATCCAGTGTGTCAGCCCTGTTGGTGGCCATGATAACCTGTCATTGAAAAAACAAACAGAACGTCAACAATGGCTGAAATGGTTTTAAAGCAGAACAGAAGGAGAAGTGCAACATAATACCACAAAGTCATAGGAAAAAAAATAAAATAAAAAAATAATAATAATAACCAAGGGGATCCAACATAGCGGCAACATGACGTGTCCATTCAGCTCCTACAACATTCGGCAATTTCTTTCTTAAACCACCTCAAACTGAACAAATACATATAAATCACTGTAAACAACATCACGTACAACAGAAAAAAAACATGGAAATCAAGATGTCGCCAATGCGGTGTCTGCTAATCACCAAGCTAGCCTGACATACGAGGGTAAAGAAGCCAGCACAAATATCGACAAAAATCTAGAGAGTAACATTACGAGTGCAATCACAAGTATGAGAGAAGACTTTTCAGTCAAATTTACAGGAATCCCCTTAGCCATACAGGAGGTTAAACAAGAAGTCAAGGAATTTTCTAACAGACCGTCTACGGCTAAACAACGTATCAGTAACAGAAGATCAGGTGTCCGTACTGCAAAATACTGTAGACAATCTTTAGCAACAGGTGAAACTTCAAAGGAAAATCTAAGCGGTCGCATTAATGTGCGTCTTGTGGGTCTCCCTGAGGGCGCAGATACGGTGGGATTCCTCCATAGATGACTGCTAGAGGTATTGGGACAGGAGTCTTTTACCAACCCGATAACCATTGAAAGAGTGCACCGCCTACAGGACCATCAAGACGGAAACACTCCCAGAATACTCATTATGCGCTTCTTGAATTCAAGGATAAAGACAAAGTGCTACAAATCGTGTGGGCTAAAGGCAAGGTAACATACAATGAATGCAAAGTTAAATTTTCTTTTTTACAAGATATCGCACAAAGGGACACATTTGAAAAGATGAAAATACTACGAAGTGAAGCAAACGCTTAAAGCCATGGACATCCGATATGGAACAATTTTTCCATCGAAGCTGCGCATCACGCACACAGAACGAGATCATATATTTGAGAGCCCAGATGAGGTGGAAAAGTTCATTTACAATCCTTCAACCAGGAAGAACGAATAAGGGGAAAGAAAATGTCACGTAACAAAATATTTTTTCTTTCTTATCTCTTTTGGGACTGATAATGTATTTAGAGTGAAATATTACTGATTGACTCTATGGTTGTGGTCAGTGACTTCTAATTATCTCCATCATTTTTCTGTTATTTTCTTTATTATAATTCACAGAATACTTTGAATCTGAGATAAGCTGATTGCTCTTGGATTTTTTAGTTGTTGCTATAGGCTGTTGTTCAGTTTCTAATATGTTGAGCCATTTGTTTGTGGGAGCATATGATGGTAGAACACATACTCATGATTCGCGCTATGCTGCTCCTTACAACAGAATCAGCGACACAAAGTGTTGAATCCTCAGTTTTTGTGTTAAGACGTTCAAGTGCTGGCGAGCACTTCTCAATTTATGCAAATAAATTCTCAAGTTATGCACTAATACTGTAATGGAATCCAATTCAGAGTTAAAAATAACATTGTGGAATGTGAGAGGTTTGGGGAAATTAACTAAAATTAAGCAAGTAATGACCAGAATCAAACAACTTAATCCCTCAACTGTATTTTTGCAAGAATGACATATTTCTTCAAATGACATGACGGTGCCAATACAAAGGCACTGGAATAGCCAAATTTATTCAGCTTTATTTTCTCCTAACTCTAGGGGGGTTATGATTTTAATACATAAGTCAATTCCACTTCACGTATCTATGATTTTACAGGACAAAGCATGACGTTACATAATAATTCAAGGCTCTATATTTAATGAAAACATTATTTTGGCAAATGTGTATGGACCTAATACAGATTGTCCAAGTTTTTTTTTGCAAAATTATTTCTTCTACTGTCTTCTTTATCAGGAAAATTGCTAATTGCTGGAGAATTTACCTGCACATTATCTCCTAGCCTTAACCGCTCAACAGGTTTAGACACAACACACATACAGTCTAAGAATAGAAATAGGACTCCATAAAAGAACTTAATCTGTGTGACCCATGGCGAAGGTTACACCCTAATAAAAGAACATATTCATGCTGTTCTACAGTGATGAAGGGTCATTCTCGTATTGACTTTTTTTTATTTATAATGAGCTCTTTCCAAGAGTAACATTATGCAAGGCTCGAAATTGCGACCATTTTGGTCGCATATGCTCCCGAAATTTAATCTGTGCGACCTCAAAATATATTTGGGAGCATTTGTGCGAGTGCATATAATTGTTGTCGTGCGACCCGTTTTAATTTCTCTAAAAACGTTCAGAGTATGTGCCTTCTGAGTGTTGATACGGTCACCTGTCTGCCGTTCTATGAAACGTTAGGCTACATAACAAAATTAAACTTCATCTTTACATTTTTAACTTTAATGCAGATTTTAGATTGGTTAATATTAGCTGTCAATCACTCAGTCACTGCTTTCCGCTGTCATTTGACAGGGAGCTAACTACCGCGGGGAATGAAAAAGGCTGAAGAGAGAAAATAACAAAGAAACACTGACAGATTTCTTTTGTGAACCACCTAAAGTTACAAATAATGGTGCTGGTGATAGCGATCATGTGGTGAATGTTGATCCACCATAATACTTTCATTTGCTTGATAACAGCCCAAATGTCTTATTATAACTGACTGATTAAATATAAGAATTTGACTCAAATGATAATACACACTTTTAGAAAAAATGGCTTTAAGGTAAAAATGACCATAAAAGTTAAAAATCTATTTAAACTTATTGGAAAAGATTAATTTCTGTCACTGCTGTGAACTGACCACCACACAGAATATGAATATTAAAAATTTTAGGAGTCAGCTGTCCACTGTAGTCCTTAAGATATCAGCACAGTAACACTCTTTTTTTCAAATTATTGTTATCGATAAAATCCCAGAAAATATCGAGATATAATTTTTTGTCAATATCGCACACCCCTAGCTGCCAGTCATTCAGTGCAACTCGCAGAGCTGAATGTAAAATTTAACACCGCATACACCATCCTAACCCTCGGCAAAGAGCAGCTTAACTTTAGGTTATTTACAAAAGAAATCTGTCAGTGTTCTTTTCATTTTCTCTCTTCTTCAGCCCTTTCTTTTTCTCACAGTAGTTAGCGGAAAGCAGTGACTGAGAGATTGACAGCTAATATTAACCAATACAAAATCTGCATTAAAGTTAAGAATGTAAGGGTAAAATCTGTTAATATATAATTTGTAGTTGTGGTGCTCCTAAATTTTTGGTGAGTGCTCCTAAATTTTTGCTGGTGCTCCTAACTTTTTGAAGTTGGGAGCACCAGTGCTACCAAGTAAAAAAGTTAATTTCGAGCCCTGTTATGTCAGTATGATTCTATTGTTATGTCAGATCATAGTCCAGTTTCTTTAGCTTATAAATCAATAAGTGATATGAAGGAAACTTGTCACTGGGCACCTGCACCCGAAATGGTTACATGATCCGGATTTTATCAAATTCACTGGAATACAGATAGATATTTTTTTTTTAAAGAATAAAAATGAAATGTCAGCTACTGTAAGGTGGGAAGCATTCAAGGCATATATCCAAGGTCAGATAATTTGTTATAAAAGGTCAAAAACTAATGAATTTAAGCTGGAATTAAATTTATTAGAAAAAGAAATCAAGCTTGCAGAGGAAAAGGCTTATTTAGACATTTCAAATAATATACATCATAAACTTCTTAAACTCAGGGTTCAATACAATACCCTCTCCATAACAAAAGCTGAAAACATCTTAAGATTGAAGCAACCTTTCTACAAACATGATTAGAGAAATGTCTAACATCTGTTATAGGTATAGACCAAAATGGGATTTATCAAGAATGGTCAGGTTACTCATAATATTAGGCGAGTCTTAAACATTCTGAATGAAAAACAGAAGCCATTTAGTAGCATTCTACTGGAAGAACATAGAAGGTCCATCCATTGATCATTGGTTGAAAGATCTGGCACATTATATTGTATTGGAAAGAATAACCTACAGTATAAAGGGCAATATATATAAAAATGTATTTTCTCTAAATATTCTCATGTTATTTTCCATGTCTTTTTTCCCATAAAAATATGTTTAAAATTATAAAGAATAACCAAAATGTTTTTTCTAACCTTCACGTTCACATTCTGGTCAAACCCATCCATTTGATTGAGCAGCTCAAGCAGGATTCTTTGCACTTCTCTATCAGCTACAAACATAGAAAACAGAAAAATTAGCAAACAAAACTCATTAAAACAAAAAAACGGTCTCCTTCAGGATGTCATGAAATGAAGTTATATCAAACTGATATATTAATTTAGTGTTCAAGAAATATTACTTATCAATTAAAAAATATTTTTTATTATTATCAATGCTTAGATCCCACCACACGAATAAAGGCCGCTGTAGAACATTAAATCACAATTAGAAAAGTTGTAATATAACCATGTGCTTCTGATCGAGTCATTTATTTCCGTCTGTGTTCAGGAATGAGCTTTAAAGCTCAATAATAAATCAAATTTGGGCATAAAGGCTGAAAGGCCTCTAACCACACTTGAGCCTACCTGTGGTATGGTGAGCCACAGCTTTTGCCAACATAGTCTTTCCACAGCCAGGCGGGCCATACATGAGCACTCCTCTGGGTGGGTCAATACCAATCTGAGAACAGAAGCAGAATGTGAGTGGACAACCAAGACTGCTACACACCCACAGGCACTTGCGTGCACAGACTCACCTGTTTATAGAGCTCAAAATGTGTGAGGGGGAGCTCCACAGCCTCCCTCACTTCTTGTTTCTGGATGTCCATTCCTCCGATGTCCGCGTACATCACATCTGGCTTCTGATCTGGGGTCAAATAGAGAGGAAACACATTAAAAGTAACAACAATAAAGCTGATGCAAGAGCTTTGCAGAAATAAGGTGCAATCTAGACCCCTAATACAGGATAAACAAAGAATACCTGAAGTGAGCATCATGATGCTGCTGTCAGCTTCTGGAGGCAGAACGTCCACCAGAGCATTGCTGTGCTTGTGCAGAGCAACAGAGGCATTGGGCTTCAGCAGCTCTCTGTCAATTGTGCTCAAAATCCGAACATAGTAATTGGAGCCTGAAGGAATCAAAAGCACACAGTATTATTGACATTGTAGTTTGAACTAATAAACATTTACAAATTTCAAATGCACATTTAAGCATCGGGCATGATTTTATCCAAAGAAACTTACAGTGCATGCATAGAGTATACATTTTAAACTACATTATACATGTTATATTTAACAGTTTTGAAAATTCAGAAATTGGAGTAGATTGACAATTCTGTAATCATAAATCAGTTTATGATTAAAACAAGAACAAATATCTGCCAATGGTGTCAGAAAAATCAGCTTAATTCAAAGGGAAACCCAGTTTTTACACCTCACTGACATATCTTGTTTTATGCGTAGACATAATTTTGTTCAATTTCTCAGAAAACAAGATTTCATATCTTCATTTCTCATCTCAAGTAAATGTATTTTGATTTAAGGATGTTTATATATTTGAATTGGAAAACATAAATACTGAAAAAGAAATAAATTTTTGCAGTGCATGCAAAATGGCATGGCTTCATGAATGTGAGAATTTCTGCTCAGATTTAGGGCCTTTCTAGACCTTAATTTAAGAAAAGGCGAATTAAGACCTTTTTAAGACCTGCAGAAACCTTATACTGATCAGTCCTCTTACCTGTGGTTGAGCCCACAATAGCAGTATTCTGGTCGACTGCTTCCAGGAACTGCCCAATAACCAGAGGGATGCTCTGTATCCTCTTCACCTCCTCTTGGGCATGAAGAAACTCCTTTTTCAGATTCTTCTGTTCATCTTTAATGTACTCCTCCTGCACCTCCAGAAACTCCAGCTCCTGCTGCAACTTCTGCAGTGTGGAAGTGATTACGTGTCAACAAGTGTGGTAGAGTCAATATTCAGTGGTCAATACTGTGATAAACTAGTAGTATGTCAATCACACACATTTAAAAATAAATAAATAAAACACCTCACAAACATTCAAACCTTATATCTACTGTAAAGGTCCTCCAGATCTTCTGGTTCAGGAGCCAAGAAAGACAAGCCGGTCTGGGGCCTTGAATTTAGCAGGGCCGGCACATCCTCCTGTAGAGAAAAAAAGATCACAAATATGTAGATGCAAGACAATATTTATTAAACGCACATTAACTGTACAAGCCAAGAACTTCATAATAAAACTAATATTGTTAAAATACACAATTTACATTAATTACAATTACAAAACTATTACACACGTTATAGCACATCATAATGAATGCATATTCAAGCAGTTACCCTGCTGTATTATTTATATATTTATACATATTCAAATTTGAATATACATACACTACCGTTCTGTAAAGCGTTATATAAAGCTTCTTAATAACTTCTCTTATAAAAAGGTACTAAAGACAAATGTTATTAAACAAAATACTGATGATAAACTGAATGCTACATGGCTAAGCAATAGCATAACTGATTAATGTTGTGAACAAGTTTAGAAATTTGTTCAAAGAGGTCATATACAATTCTAATATGATCAAATATGAAGTTTTAAACTCTACATATTCGCAGTGATCGCTACTCATCTGTTATTTTCGGAAGCACACATGCTAACGTTAGCCGCTGTCAGAGAATGGCATGACTGAGCATTTGCAGCGAGCTGAATGAATCGGCATCTTTTCACTGTTTATTGCAAGCTTTAGACTAGTGTTCTTGCTCTATATATGTTTTGCTTATATAGACTATAACTTTTTACAGATAATAACGATGTGTACGCCACCCCTCTCTTTGTAAAATACTTAAAATCACATTACATCTCACCTGAGGTTTCTCAACAAGCACTCCGCCGTCCTCCATGTTTGCTTGCAGCAGCTGACGTCTTCTTCTTCTTCTTTTAAATGTAATGGAGGTTGGCAAACCAACTTAAATGGTGCATTCCCGCCACCTACTGGATAGGAACCACATTTGTCACAATTTCCAGTTTCATGCTTCCCCGTTCTATACAGACACTGATTTAACGAACAATGTCCAATACGCATTCTTGACATTAAAACGTCTTCTTTCCTGTTGCCAAACTTTCTTCTTTCTTGACCTACTTTCTCTTGAACATGATGAAAGTGTCTACCTTTTGTTCCACTATCCCACTCCTTCTGCCATTTCTTTCTTATTTCATTTGCAATTAACCCTTTTACTTCTGCTTTACTCATTGACACTTTAATGTCAATTTGTGCATGTCTCAGAGCCTGTTTAGCCAGATGGTCTGCCTCCTCATTTCCTTCCACACCCATATGTGATGGTACCCAAAGGAAATTTACCATAAGACCAGATTGTCTTATTCTAAATAGACTCTGCATCACTTCAAAAATGATATCTTGCCTTGCTGTTGAAATTCCACTTAGCAAGCTATTTAAAACTGAAAGGGAGTCTGTACAAATTACTGACCTTATTGGCTGTACTTCTTCTATCCACTGAAGAGCTAGGAATATTGCTATTGTCTCTGTCGTATAAACAGATATGTGATCTGAAATTCTTTTTGAAATTTTGACTTTGAATTGGGGTATGTAGACTGCTGCTGCTGTTATTCCAGACTCAGGATCTTTAGAGCCATCCGTGTATATTTGCAATATGCTATAATAAGTTTGTTCAATGTATTGCTGCACTGCTATATTTGTTAACATACTTCTTTCCTTGTTATGTTTTTCTTCATATACTGACGTCTTCTTCTTTTTCTTTTGGAGTTTTATGGCGGTTGGCAAACAAACGATAGGTGCATTAACGCCACCTACTGGGCTGGAGTGTGGACCATTGATGGAATAGGAAGCACTAAATACATAAAAATAAATAAATAAATAAAAATATAATAATATAAAAAAAAAAATTAAATAAAAAATTAAACCCTTCTAAATCCTGTTAAACAGATCTACTTTTTTTAAGGATGTCATTAAAGCATTATATATTTTATAATGATTCAAGCCATTATTCAACAAAGTTTTAAGTGTAATATTTTCTATCAGCAGCTGACGTCACGTCGCAGAATATAATGTGAAGTTCCGCAAACATCCACCGGGTCCTAAAGGCCACTTTTTCAACTCCTCTTATTGCACAGTTCGTGCATTAAATTTAACAAAAGTGACAGTAAAGATTGTAGCCTATAATGTTACAAATATGTCTATTTTAAATAAATACTGTTCTTTTTAACATTCTATTCATCAAAGAATCCTGAAAAAATCACGGTTTCCACAAAAAAATATTTAGCAGCGCAACTGTTTTCAGCATTTATGTTAAGTCATTATTCTTGAGCACCAAATAGGCTATGATTTAATCATCTGGAGTAATGTCTGCGGAGTAGTGTCTTTTTTTAAAATAGAATACAGTTATTTTAAATATTAGCCTAATTATATTTCACAATAGTATTGTTTTTACTGTATGCAATCTTAGTGAGCATGAGAGATTTCTTTCAAAAACATTTAAAATCTTACCGATCTCAAACTTTTGAACTGTACCAAGTTTATTATGAGAACTCCCTCACGAAGACCAACTGTGTGACAATTGGAAATTAGGCACCAAAAAGGGTGCACTATACCCTTAAATTTGTATGAAATGAGTAGCCTAATATTTTCTTCTGGTTGAAAAGGCAATCAAAATATATTCATATAAGGAACAGATGTTTTTGATTATTTTTATTGCATTTATTGATAAATCACCAACTGTAACTGACATCAGAATTCTATTAGAACTTGTAATCTTTTATACAAACAACATCTGAACAAAGATGAAGCAATGGTTTTATTTAATTTTTTATTTTTATAAAAATGGCATCTTTTCATGTCACAGTTGTGTGGGAGTATACAGACTGTTTTTGAAATCAAGACATGGCACAACCAAAAGAGACCTTCAATTGCACACTCAGTAACTCAATAAGTTAAACTCCTCACTAATATCCTCTTAATAAATAAGTGTAAACATAACTTGAAGATAATTCATGTGTCATATTCAATCTCATGCCTTTTGATACGGAATATTATTTACATTAACCAAGGTTATAGTATATGCAATGGCAATATGCAATTTTCGATGCACAAACAATATTTAGATGCATGAAAAAGGAACATTCACTTGACGGCACAAAGAGCTTTTTTTATGTACAGTTTTTTTAGATATCTTTTTTTGTCTTTTTCCTCATCTTGTCTTCTTTGTGTGTGGATGCTTTATAAATTCAAAGGCAGGGTCTGAGTTGTAAAAAGGGTTCAAGCAGTGGTGTCTAGCATCTTGTCAAACCTTCTGACCAAAGAGGGGAATCCTTTTGGTGGCTGAGCCCTCTTCAGCTTAACATCCTCATCTTCATAGCATACCCTGAAAAGACATGAGATTCCTTGCCACAAAAACACTGCATCTTTTCTGTGGGTCAGCAAGAGCCTTCACAGGAACATGGGTTGGTTCCAGAACAGGCATTTTTGTGGACACATCAACACGATGTCCAAGCAGAGACGTACGTTTGTCCACCCTCACTGGTCGACTTGCAAGATTGGGCAGCCAGGGTAAGGAGAGGGGAGCGGTAGTTTTCAAATCAGACTCACATAAAGGTTCACTGATGTTTCTTGTTGCCATGCCCATTAAATGGTTAGCAGGTCTGGACCCTCGACGTCCCGGAGGTCTTTCTCCTGAAACTGATGTCTTCTCTTCAGCTTCTGTCAAGAAGAAATGTCCAGTGGACTTGTTCTGTCCAGCAAGAGGTTTCACAGGACAGTGGGTTGGTTCTAGAACAGGCATGTTTGTGGACACAGCAACATGGCGTATACGTAGAAACATATGTTTGTCCACAAAATTGGGCAATGAGGATAAGGAAAAGTGAGCATTACATTTCAGATTAGACATACATGAAGATTCTGTGACATTGCTCTCTGCCACATCCATTAAATTGGTAGGAGGTCTCGGCCCGCAACGTCCTGGAGGACTTTCACCTGAAGATGTCTTCTTTTGTCCAGTCTCAGGCAAGAAGGGAGGTGCAGAAGATCTGCTAAAAATCCATTTGCCTACTAGGCATGGCAGGGCCTGACTCTGGAGAGTATTTCTCACTCTGTACCACATGTTGAAATGTTGGAGTGAAGATTATCTCAATAACAACAACAAAACTGGCTTGAATGAGTGATAAGCAAGCAAGCAGCAATCACAACAGTCAGATACCAAGTGAAGCTCTTTTCATCAGGATTCCTTATAATGTGTAATGGCTATTATGATGTCATTGTCAGAATGGAATGTAGGTCCGTTGAGTTAATTCTATTTGCCACAGAGATATAAGCATTTTTTTTTAATCATGCAATGCTCACATTCTAGTGCACACTAATTATTTTTGTCATGTGAACAGTTAATAATATGTTAACCCCGTAAAGTAAAAGAAAATTAAAGCGGGAAAAAATCACTTCCTTGCAGATTAAGAGGTTCGTCACACACAAAAATGTAGGGCAGACTTAAAGTATTAAACAGGAAGAGCAGTTCACATAAAACAAATGTATTTTAATCTAAATCTGCAGTGTGGAAATTAAGAAATTAATATATAGTATAATTCATATATATACAGTATAATTCATCTATAATTTTGGCTCACCTCATAAATGAATGTGTGGTGAGAAACCATATTACAACTAACTTTAAAGGACTAGAACTAGTTTTTACTAGTAGGACCCAAATTATTACTCACCCCCTCATGTCGTTCAAAATCTATACTTTCTTCTTGAAACAAAATGTGCATTTTTGAAGAATATCCTGACCACTCTTCTAAATAAAGTTAACGAGGACTGAGACTGTCAATCTCCAAAATGACACAACAGAAGCAGTGTTGCCAATTTGGGGATTTTGTCGCCAAATTTAGCTACTTTCTCATTGTGTGTCATACGACAGCTTTTTTATCAACAGATTATATTACATTATTAAGTCACTAAAACTTTTCACTTCCTTCTTGCTTATCTTTCTACATTCATGGACTTCGGTTCATATTTGTGAGTTCAATTCGTGAATGAATCATTCGTTGTCATGTCAAAACTTTTAATTAATCGGGTCTAATTCACAAAACCGGTTTAAATAATTATTTCTCGAATCAGACTTCACAGCCTGGTAATCGGTCTGTTTTAAGGGACGTTATAAACCCTCACATTAGCCTACTCTTCGTTTTTTCGCTATATTGAAATATGTTATGGACCACTAGTTTTGTGTTAAATATAGCCTAATATAATATAGTCCCATAACATTTTTCCCATCTGAGATTCAAAACCCTTAAGAAAATTAATCATGGTTTAATTATAGAATAGTAACCATGTTTTATTTTTTAATTGACTATCATTTGTATAACCAGTTTTACTACAAATAGGCTATGGTTAGCGTAGCAAAATCCACGTTAAATAGTGGTTACCATGGTTTAACTAGTATGTTTTTTATTTGTTGTAAAACCATGGGAAATTTTCGTAAGGGAACCATTTAGGATATTTTTATAACAATGTAAAGTGTGTGTGTGTGTACTTGTTCATGCTACATGCTACATGTCCCCACAAGGATAAAACCTGAAATTTTTGACATTGTGGGGAAAAAAATGATTAAAAATAGTAAATGATGTTTATCTGTAAGTGTAACAATGCAAACAGGTTTTCTGTAGGCCTAAGGGGTAGGTTTAGGGTTAGGTTTGGTTTAGAGAATAGAAAATAGATCGTTTGGTCAGTATAAAAGTAATCGAAGTCTATGGAAAGCCCTCAGAATTCACAGAAAACCTGTGTGTGTGTGTGTGTGTGTGTGTGAGAGAGAGAGAGATAGTCATGCTGATTAATATTAACGTAATGATGACATTGCTCCCAGTTTCAAGACTCTAGCATAATCTGTTCTCGGATAGTCCGACCTTCAT